GAATAGAATAGAATAGAATAACAGGAAACAATGGAATGGAATAGAATGGAATGGAACAGAAGAAAACTGCAGAATATGAATGGAATGGAATGGAATAGAATAGAGTTGGAAGGGACTTTGGAGGTCTTCTAGTCCAGCCCCCTGCTGAAGCAGGAGACCCTATACCATTTTAGACAAGAAGTTCGGACTCTTAAAAGTTCAGACTCTTCTGGAGGCAACTTCTGTTCCACTGGTCAGTTTTCCTCACTGTTAGGAAGTTTTCCTTAATTCCAGGTTATGGCCATTGCACTTGTATACTTGTAAATGTATACTTGATTAAAGCAGAATAAAGAATCACAATTTAATTATGAATTTCTTTTTTTCATGAGTGTAACAACATGATCTTGTGGGCCAAGACGTAGATTAGGCTCAAACGGGCTTAGACAATTTGTGTCTCATTGTGATGTGGGAATCTAGCTGTTGCCTTTAGGTTAAACAATAATCTGCTTTCTTTGTCTGTGCAAGCATAATGTCTTCTGTGAATAAAAATAACAATTATAGTTTTTGACCTGGATTTAAATTTTGGCTGCCAAGAAAACTCAGCCATTGTCTATGTGCACGCAACGTACTTTCAATGATCTGCTAAAATGAGTTATGCAAACACAGCCAGACACTTAGTGAAGAAATGTTACCTACATTTGCATGCCCAGTTGCCCATTCCCATCTGACCTGGTAGGATGGATAAATATCCTTAGGGAGAGGCAGTCCTGCAGATAACCCGGCCCTGTGCCTTATAGGGCTTTCAAGGTGACCAATAGCAACTTGAATTGCACCTGGAAAGAAACTAGAAGTCAACGCAGTTTGCATAACAAAGGAGTTACATGGTTAAACCTAGGGGTTATTCATCCCTGCATACGTGGCCACATTCTGGACCAGTCGTAGCTTCTGGGTTTTCTTCCAGGGCAGCCCCACAGAGGCTGCATTGCAGTAATCCAAACAGGTTTGGGATGCAAATTAGCGTGTGCAGGAGTTCAAAACTGTCCTTGAATGAATGAATGAATGAATGAATGAATGAATTGGCCAAGTGTGATAGTCAGGGTACAAATAAGCAATCAAATCATACTAGGAAACTCAATATAAATCGTAAGGATACAAGCAACAAAGTTACAGTCATACAATCACAAGGGGGAAAAGATGGGTGATAGGAATGATGAGAAGATTAACAGTAATAGTAATGCAGACTTAGTGAATAGTTGGACAGTGTTGAGGGAATTATTTGTTTAGCAGTAATGGTGTTTGTGAAAAAAACTGTCCTTGTGTCTATTTGAAACTCCCAACGTTCTTAGTTCCAATTGCAGCACCTTAAACACAGTTTTTGACTCATTGGCATTTCCTTTTCTTGACTCTTTGTAAGTCCGGAAATGAACTGAAGCTTATTGAGATATAGGAAGTACTCAAAAAGGAAATGATTACTGTAAAACAGACATTATTATAAAACAAACATGAAAGACTCAGGATGCATCTGAAGACTTTCTGACCAAGGTGTTTGATCCAAGCCTCGCCAGATCAGGATTGACTCCGAATCCTCTTTGATCCCAGATCCTGATCAATAAATGCTCTTCTTTGGGGTGAGTGTTGACTTGTGCAATCAGTAATCCAAGTATTGGGCATGGACTTGTAACGTACAAAAAGCTGAGAATAGCAACCAGGTCTTAGGGTGACCAATGGTAATGCAATGGGAAATGCAACAATTAGTTTAATGTTTCCCCATGTGCAAAGAGAAATGTTTTTTTTTCAATCTAGGCAACTTTAAGATGGGAGACATCAACTCCCATTAGCAGCTCTCCTCGGCTCCATGGCTGAATTCTTTCTTTAGACTTGGCTGAAGGTTGCCTATGGACATTAATTCTATTTTTTAACAGGTTTTCTAAAAAATAAGTTTTGAAGAAGATAAGAACAACACAAATATTAGAAAAGAAGCAGTGAAAATAAGAACAAATAGTGAAAAAGAAAAAGAAAAGAAAAAAGAAATGAGAAAAGGAAGGAAGGAAAGGGAGGGACAGAAGGAGGGAGGACGGAAGGAAGGAGGAAGGAAGGAAGGAAAGAAGGAAGAAAGGAAGAAAAGGAGGGAGGAAGGAAAGGGGAAGGTTATAAAGAAGCTACTTCTAATCTTTTTAGCAGAGTTAATAATGCATTTATAATTTACCATCTTCTTCTACATGGAAGATGCCATATACAGCAGTTGATTGCCTAATGTTGGTGCTATCAATATAAATGACCTCTAAAGTTTCAAAGGTTCAAATTTGAGATACTGTATGTTGTTCTGGTCCTTTGAAATTAACATATCTTGTTGGCCTCAAAGACAAATTTGTTGTATGTTGCTATGGTCTTCTCTGGACTTCGAATGGTTATCTTCAGGTTTGCATTTCTGTGTCCTTGCATGTCCTGACTTCAAGTGAGGGGTAACTAACAGGTTTTATACTCCTTGATTCTTTGGGATTAAAGTACTCTATTAATCTTGGTTCAGTTAAGGAGGACTTAAACTTGCCTCAGTCATAGGTTGGGGACAAAATGGAGACTTTAGGAAAAATATATATTGCCAGAGTATTTCTAGCAGGACTACCAGATTCTGGAACAGCTTTGTTCCCTATGACATCCGTCTGGTAAACTTGCAAGATTCGTTTTTCTCGCCATGTATACATCCGAACTAGACTGTGATGTTTCTCTGTGTCATATAATATATGTGGGTATATGCATAATTTTGTATTTATTTATTTATTTTGTCAAGTTTATGTAGTGTATATTGGAGGTGGTGATCCTTTGAGAGCTTAGGCAATGAAATTTCATTTTAATGTATGCCGATTAGTGTGCATTCAAAGTGACAATAATTATCCTATTCTACTCCACTCCACTCCACTCCACTCCACTCCACTCCACTCCACTCCACTCCACTCCACTCCATTCCATTCCATTCGTGCCGGAATTAGCTGCAAGGGGCAAAGGCCACTTGTAAGGCAACAAAGTAACATTGTGTATTGGTATCAGTGCACTGCATATACTTCTAATTAGTAGATTGCAGACAATGATACATTGCTTTACACATATTAATCTCCCAGGCTAGGAACACTGAGTTGTGTAGCAGTGAGTTGTGAGCATGCATGAGTTAAAACAAAGCTGTGGTGGTTTACTAAGCCTCAAAATGTTCCTAAACTGATTGGTATTTTCATTACTGTTAGCAAGAAATGTCACACAGATACAACTAAAATTGGTCCCTTCATCTAAATTTTTCCTTGTTCTTAGAAAGCTTGATGTGAAAGCTTGATTGAGCAAACCATCATAAGAAGTGGAGACCACTATCTCTAGATAAAGTCCAGTTGCTTCTTGAAAAAAGCACCATGGCCTGGGGGACTGAGAATTTCCAGAGATATTCTATAGATTGTCCTATCTGTGTGGTTAAGAACTGACACATTATCTTAATCAGATGTATGATTAAGATAATGTGTCAGTTCTTAAGAACACGAGATAGGACAATCTTAAGAAAATGACCAAAAAACCTAGTAGATAAACGTCACTGCAAAACGAAACGAAAGGGAACGTAAAGAAAATGCATTGCAGGATAAGAAAAATTAGAATAAAGCCAGATACATTAACTTGAGAGGTTATTAAAAGCAGGATTCTATATGGGCCTCCAGTGACAGCTCTGCAACAGAGCCTGAAAAACTTTTGAGGCTCTGAGAAGCAAAACATCTTAAAGGCAAAACAAAGAAAGTCCAGTTGCCTTTTGAAAAAGCATCTTTAGGACAACCATGACTGAGATGACTGAGAATCTCCACAGACACCCTGAGACCCTCACTGCCTACTGCCCTGGGAAAGATGGGAGTTGTAGTCCAACACATCTGGAAAACATCGGATCCAAGGAAGGTTCTATGTTCAGTTTTTTCTGCAGCTCTCTTTCTATTGAATTGTTTGAAATTAAATCTCTCTCTTTAAGACCCTTTATGGGTTAAAAAAAAACCACCAAGTGAAATTTCATGGAGTGATTCATCATACAAAGGATGTTGTGGTTACACTTTTTATAGAAGAATAACTTTTATGGAATGAAAACATGCTGCAGTGATGGCCATTTCCATAGAAACAATGGAGTCTTTTCTAGATTCGAGGAGTAGTGCTTATAGGTATAATCTTTAAAACCTTAAAAAATTATCAAAAGTTATCAAAAAAAAAAAAAAAAAAACCCACCACACCCATTAACACAGAACCTCACAAAATGCATAGCGCTTATGCAGTTATGGTGTTAGAATAGAATTCTTTATTGGCCAAGTGTGATTGGACACACAAGGAGTTTGTCTTGGTGCAAATACTCTCAGTAAACATAAAAGAAAAGATACATTCGTCAATAATCAAGAAGTTAAGTTTGTTAAGTGTTAAAAGGGAAAGTAAGTATAAGAATTAATACACATCATCCATATTTCTAATATTCATAAAATTGAGTCAGACACCTGACCAATTGGTTTTACGACTGTCATGACTTACAACCATTGTGAGCAATAGCGAGAGCACTTATATACCGCTTTACAGTGCTTTCCAGCTCTCTCTAAGCGGTTTGCAGAGTCAGCCTCTTGCCCCCAACAATCTGGGTACTGAGTTTACCCACCTCAGAAGGATGGAAGGCTGAGTCAACCTTGAGCCTGGTGAGATTTGAACTGCCAAATTGCAGAAGTCAGCAGAAGTAGCCTGCAGTACTGTACTCGAACCACTGCGCCACCATGGCAGTCAGCATCACTGTCATATGTCAAGAATTAACTGGTAGATGCTTTGTCACCTTGTGTGCTTTTAGACAAGTTAAAATTAGTTTCTTAGGAATAAGGAAACCGTCCACATGAGGAACGGTAATCCCAAAATATTTGAAAGGCATCAAGCTTAAACTGGCCATTTTCTGGATTGGTTTAGGAGCTCCAGTTGAGAAGGAGGATGCCAGTATTTGAACTTGCATGGTTTTCAAATGAAAGAAGAGGAAAAGGCTTCACATTTAGAACAAAAATCTTTTGTGGTACCATAAAAACAGGAAACCAGAAACCGGAAACTTCTCCTTTGGTGTGTTGATGTGTGAAGTTTGGGGAAGTCCAAACGTGTCTTTCTTCATCTTAATGTAAAATGAAGTTTGAAATATCAATTTAAAATCCTGCAAGGTGACCAACTGACCTTCCATAGCTGTGAACTCACCAAACAGGAAGTATTGGTTACCCCAACTGACCCCCAACTTTCTTCTCTGTGAAGTGTGTGGATGTTCTGACTCAACCGGGTTCCCAAAGAGCAAACACAGACAAAGGCAGCACCTTTTAAAGTTTAATAATGAATTCTGTTCCTTTACAGATAAAAGTCTGCTTTCCACTAATTAGCTCGGACAAGAAAGAGCCTTGCCAAGTTGTTTGTCAAGGCTGCCAAAAATCCAGAGATAAGATCTAATTTACAAAATTCTCCAAACACGAACTAAGATGTCCACCAGTTGAGCTTCAGAGCTTCTTTGCTGTCTGCAAAGAATGCTTTTTCAAACCTGGCTTTTATCCTCTTGAGGGAGGGGCCATTACCTTGCAGCCTTACTCCTGAGTCGCCTGTGCTGCTGTAATTGTTCTTTCCTCCGAGTAATCCTTCGTGCACATGCACTTGGCACAGGCTCCTCAGGAACCTCCTCATCACTGCTACCAGCCCCCACAGTCTCTGAAGACAGCAGTCCACTCCCAGGTGGTCCTGGCCCCTCATCAGAGTCATCGCTCTCCTCAGCCATCTGCACCTGCTGCCGACTAACCACAACAGTGGACTACAAACCCCATCACTGTCTTCCAGTAGGGGCCTGAGTGGTAGGTAGTCCTTGACTTAGGGCTGTAATTGAGCCCAACATTTCTGTTGCTTTGCAAGACAGTCACAAAAGGGGACCCTGTGTTTCCTGGACATTGAAACCATCATAAATATGAACCAGTTGCCAAACGTCCACATTTTGGTCACATGATTGTGGGGATGCTGTCATGTCTCCCCTGGTTCTTCTCATGCCCAGTTCCTGCAACTGTTCATCATATGTTCCAGTCTCCAGTCCCCTAATCATCCTGTGATGACCCAAAGGGGCGTGGCACAAAAACAACAAAGTCACAAAAGAAGGTAAAGTCCCTTTCATTCCTCCAGCTTGGCCTCCAATGTATCATCAACTGGAGAAAAAACTCTCCCAAGAACAGTTTTTAAAGGGAAGAAATTCCATCCCAACCCAAAGTACATATAGATTATAAATAAAAACCAACACAAACCACGCTGCAGCAATTAACGACACAGGGCAGGATAAGGAATTGCAGACTTCAAAAATTAACGAAACACACACACTCGGGAGGACACCAGAACCCAGATAAGACGTGACAAACAAAGATAATTTGTTTCTAGCAAGGTGCTGTGTGCAAATGCCCTTTTAAATCCTGTTTTCCCAGCTGCAGCTAATGAAGGGAATCAGGGCCCTTTTCTCCCCCGTAATCCACTTTGCTCCATTCTCTGTTCCTCCCTGCCTGCCCTAGGATGAAGAGTGGGTGGGCCTGGGTCTTCCTCTGAATGCCCAGCTGGACTGTGCCCTTCCCCAGTTTCTTCCCTGGAGCCACACTCTCTGTCAGCTGCTCAAACTCCTCTTCCCCAACCTCCTCTTCCCCAACAGGGGCATGACATATCCTAGTAGCTCTTCTCTGCACTTTTTCTAGGGTCTCAACATCTCAACTGGATGTCTCAACTGGATGCAGTACTCTAGGTGTGGTCTTACTAAGGCTTTATAGAGTGGTATTAGTACCTCCCTTGATCTTGATTGCATTCCTCTGCTAATCCCAATTTAGGATTGCATTAGCTTTTTTGGCTGCTGCTGCACACTGCTGGCTCATATTTAGTGTCATGCTCCTGGTAGAGACTGACTCTAAGCAGTCAGAGGAGGACCCAGGCCTATTCCCTATCCATCCTAGGGCACGTAGGGAGGTGAGGATCAGGGTAAAACCTGGTCTACTCGGAAGGAGAGGATTAGGGTAAAATGTAGTTTACTCAGGAGGAGAGGGCCATGATCCTCTTCATGGGTTGCAGGTGTGAGATTTGCATAAGAGTTTGGACCTGCGTGCTAACAGACGCTGGAGACAAATTAGTGTTTCATTCCTAAAGAAGGTTTATCTTGGTTGGTGTTCTTCCAACACCAACATGGTTATCTTCCTGAAGTTGGCCATTATCTATCCTGGTCTGTCGTGGAACTTTGTTCAATGCGATTTGTTTTTGGTTTTTGCTTCGTTATCAGCTCTTTGAATTTGAACTGCATTTCTTTCCTTTGAAATGTTATTTTGAAAATAGTTTATTCCTCCACTGTGAACAATTAAACAGTGAAGCCAAGTTGAAGGCATTAAAGGATTTTTAGTTACGTTTTGGGTTTTGTTATATTTCTGATATACTCTGGGTCATCACATATAGCTGGTTGTCCAATGAGTCTCCAAGATCCCTCTCACAGTTACTGCTATTGAGCCTGGTTTCACCCAGTCTATATGTGTCCTTTTGGTTTTTCTTGCCTAAGTGTAGGACTTTACTTTTCTCTACCTTGAATTTCATTTTGTTAGATAGGGCCCAGTGTTCAAGTCTGTCAAGATCCATCTGGATCTTGAGCCTATCTTCTAGGTGTTGGCTATTCCTGCCAGCTTAGTATCATCTGCAAATTTGGTAAGTTCCCCTTCTATTCCCTCATCTAAGTTGTTTATGAAGATATTGAAGAGTCCTGGGCCTAAGATGGAACTTTGTGGTACCCCACTGCTTACTTCCCTCCTTGTGGACGTAGACCTATTAAGGACCACTCGTTTTATATGGTTTGTCAGCCAGTTATGAATCCATCTTGTGGTAATGCTATCTATCCCACTTTTTTTCTAGCTTACTAAGAAGTAGGTTGTGGTCTACTTTGTTGAATGCCTTGCTGAAGTCTAAGTATATAAATGTCTACAGTATTTCGTGGTCTACTAATTTAGTCACAAGTCTCCCCAAACTGATAGAGAGACAGGACAAGGCATCCAAGAAGCAAAACTTCCCGTGAGGCCTCAGCTGTCTCATCGAATCAGAATTCCAATAAGCATTATTTATAATTCTTTTATGTAATAATTCTTTTTATTATTTTAAATAGTGAATCAATAAGCAGAATGCAGGCGATGCTCGCCTTAAAACCATTCGTTTAGCAATGATTCAAAATGAAAGGGCACTGAAAGAAGTGACTTAGAACCAGTCCTCACACTTATGACTATTGTAGCATTCCCTACAGTCATGTGCTTGGCAACCAGCAGGCAAGGATCACATGATCACCATTTGGCCCCTTCCAGCCGGTTTCCAACAAGCCAAAGCCAATGGGAGAAGCCAGATTCACTGAACAACTGGATGATTCACTTAACAACTGCATTGTTTCACTAAACCAAAGCTCTCCAACCTTGGGCACTTTAAGCCTGGTGGATTTCAACACCCAGAATTCCAATTCCAGTGCCAATTCTGGCAGTTGAAGTCCGCCGGGCTTAAAGTGCCCAAGGTTGGAGACCCCTGCACTAAACAATCATGGCAAAATAGGTTGTAAAATTGGGCACAACTCGTTTACCAGCTGCCTTGTTTAGCAACGGACCGAATTGTGGTCATAAGTTGAGGATTGTATGTCTATGGAGATACTATGGAGATTCTCTGTCCTCCAGGTCATGGTTGTCCCAAAGGAGTTTTTTCAGGAGGCAACTGGACTTTCTGGTTTTTCTTTGAAGACGTTTCGCTTCTCATCCAAGAAGCTTTTCCAGCTCTGAGGAAGCTTCTTGGATGAGAAGCGAAACGTCTTCAAAGAAAAACCAGAAAGATCCAGTTGCTTCCTGAAAAAGCTCCTTTGGGATTAACTGCATGGTTTATTTCCTTAAGCTTGGATGTCTAGTATGGAGCTTTGATGGCATGGTTGTGGATGCCATCTTGACTTTTTTGCCCTGCCCTGCAGATGCACTTGAGCTAAGTGCTCTTTCCCTAGTGATTCACCCGCTGAATTTCCATCTCAAGCTGCAGGGCCAGCACGTTGCATGAAGGCACCACTTGGGATTTGCTAATCTGAGTTTAAAAAGAAGTTGAATGTAGGCAGCTCACCTACAAAGGTCTCTTCTAAAAAGTAAAGATGCTCAGATCATTTGATGTCACCGGCTTCTGCAAGTGAACAGAAATTTAACTTTGTCCCTCTGCCACATCTTGGCAGAGTGGGTGACTGGCAGCTCCATTCTTTCAAAGCTGGCATCCTGTGGAAAGGGGACTTCTCTGCCCATCCCATCCACTAGGACTGTCTCCCCCCCCAGAGATGCACATTTGTACCCACTCATCTGGGGAACTGGAATAGTCTTAACAACAGACATGCCTGGGGTTAAAGTATGAGTGTATCACTTTGCCTTTGATAAAGGACTTAAAACAGGGGTGTCCAAGCGCCATGCTGGCTGGGGAATTCTGAGAGTTGAAGTTCACAAGTGTTAAAGTAACCAAGGCTGGACACCCCCCGAGTTAAAATGTGGCTTTGTTTGTGGCTTTGTGTGGGATGCTCAGAACAGCATACAGAGCAGTGGTGGGATTCAATTATTTTACTACCGGTTCTGTGGGCATGGCTTGGTGGGCATGGCAAGGGAAGGATACTGCAAAATCCCATTCCCTCCCCCACCCCACTAACCTGCTTTCCAGCTCCGTTCTTCTGTGCAGGGCAACCAAAGGAGATCCAGCCGATCAGCTGGGACTCAATGGGAGGCAGAGAAGAGATGGGGTTGGCGGGTCAGGTGGCATTGGCCGGTTCTCTGAACTACTCAAAATTTCCACTACTGGTTCTCCAGAACTGGTCAGAACCTGCTGAATACCCACCTCTGGTGCAGAAAGCCAATCTATCATCTTTTTAACAATTTCTAATTTCTATCAGATTTTAATCCTCTTTGCCTCCTTTTAAATTCTAAATCTTCTGAATGTTTAATTTTTATTGGCTGTTTCTATATTTTAACATTTTATTGTCCATTTTATTGAGCTTCTTCCGAAGGAAGATGAGTGCTTCAAAAATGTGAAAAATGAATAATTTTATGGGGGTGGTGGTGAATGGAGGTCTGTTTGGGTGAGTTCCACAGGATGCCAGCCTTTTTAAGATCTTTTAAGTCTGGGTTGTTGGTGCAGTTGTAGGTTTTATCTATTTTTATGGGATTTTGTGGTGTATGCATGGCAAACTATGGCTTATTTCTTGGGTTTCACGTTGAAAGTCTAAAATGCAAATAAAGAAGGGTGAAGTTTTGATGGCAATGGTTGTGGATGCCATCTTGACTTCCCCTATAGATGCACTTTATTTTTATTTATTTATTTATTTTTGTCAGTTGCTTACAAGATAATAGGTATAAGTAAAAACATAGTTATGAATACATGGATACATATAAGAAAAATAAAAAATAAAAGAAACAATAGGACAAGGGACGGTAGGCACGTTGGTGCGCTGATGCACGCCCCCTACAGATCTCTTAGGAAAGGGTGAGGTCAATAGTAGACAGTCTAAGGTTAAAGTTTTTGGGGTTTGGGGAAGAAACCACAGAGTCAGGTAGAGTATTCCAGACATTGACCACTCTGTTGCTGAAGTCGTATTTCCTGCAATCAAGTTTGGTGTGGTTAACCTTGAGTTTGTATCTATTGTGTGCTCTGTGTTGTTATGGTTGAAGCTGAAGTATTCATTGACAGGTAAGTCATTGCAATGTATGATTTTATATACCATATAATGTATGATTTTATATACTTTCCCTCCTGGTTCTCCTATTGAATTTACACATCGAATCACAGGGACAATGTGTTAAGTAAACATGTTTTGTACACAACCTAGAGTCTATTGGAGCAGCTATAATAAATTCAGATCTGTTGGCTGGTTGCAGGAATTGGGTATGTTTGGTTTAATGAAGAGAAAGACTAGTGGGTGACATGATAGCAGTATTCCAGTGTTTGAGGGGTTGCCACAAAGAAGAGGGAGTCAACCTAGTCCAAAGCATCTGAAGGTAGGACAAGAAACAATGGATGGAAACCAATCTAAGAGAGAGTCAATGTAGAATTAAGGAGAAAATACCTGTCAGTGAGAACAATTATTCAGTGGAATGGTTTGCCTTCAGAAATTGTGGATGCTCCAACACTAAAGCTTTTAAAGAAGAGATCGGACAGCCATTTCTCTGGAATGGTATAGGATTCAAGCAGGCCTCCAAGGTCCTTTTTAACTCTATTATTCTGTTAATCAATCCGTCGATGCACTATCAGCTTTCAGAACCAGAAATATGCCCCAAAACCTAAATGAATCTTGATTCTTTTTCACAGACGTTTGAGCATGCTACATGATGCAGCCATGGATTCCCAAATATTCCTTTGGTTCTTTGCTTGCTGGGTTTTTGTGAATTCTACATCAGGTAAAGACCTTATTGGGCTAAGGAGAAAAAGTTGGGGCGCTGAGCTTGTCGATCAGAAAGGTCGGCAGTTCGAATCCCGAGTGAGCTCCCATTCCTTGTCCCAGCTTCTGCCAACCGAGCAGTTCGAAAGCGCGTAAAAAATGCAAGTAGAAAAATAGGTACCCCTTTGATGGGAAGGTAACAGCATTCCGTGCGCCTTCGGCATTTAGTCATGCCGGCCACATGGCCATGGAGACGTCTTCGGACAGCGCTGGCTCTTCGGCTTTGAAACGGAGATGAGCACTGCCCCCTAGAGCCAGAAATGACTAGCACGTACGTTGGAGGGGAACCTTTACCTTTACTAATCTCACTTGGAGATCGCCATCATTTCCGTTGCTGCCCAGATCTTCAAACTATCTGTTCATAGGTTGTGATGGAGACTCCTTCTTTCTCTCTTACTTCTTCTTTCCCATGCTCTGTGTTGTCCCTGGTGTTTAGCACTCAACAAGGAAACAGAGATTGTACCCCAACATCGCATTCAGAAAAGGGGAGCAGAATATATGGAGGCACTTATGGAGAACTATGAAGGGCACATAAACTCAGGATGCACTTCCAACGAGACAAGGAAGTAGGTTCTTATTACTTGCCTTCTTATGTTTTCCCATTTATATGTTCTCCCAATTTCCATTGCTAAGTGAGACATTTGTCAAGAGGGTTTTGCCCCATTTTATGACTTTCCTTGCCATATTTGTTAAGTGAATCACTGCAGATAGTAACTTAATAACCTGGTTGTTAAGTGAATGTGGCTTCCCCATTGACTTTGCTTGTCAGAGGGTCACAAAAGGGGATCACACGACCCCGGGACACTGCAATCGTCATAAATGTGAGTCCATTGTCAAGCATCCAAATGTAAATCACGTGACCACGAGGATATTGCAATGGTCATACATATGAAAAATGGTCATAAGTCACTTTTTCAGTACCATTGTAACTTTGAACGGTCACTAAATGATCTGTTGTAAGTCTTCTTCTACTTATATTGTAGACGACAGAATTTTATGTCTACCCCTATATTTAATTTCACCTTAAGCTCAATGCAGCACTTCCTGCCATGCATTCTAAATATACCAGGTTTCCAGTTCCTGGGTTTTAGGCAGCCTTTCAAAATCCAAATGCATAAAAAAAAACTGACTGCATGACTATATAATTTCTGAATATTTATTAGAGGTAAAGGATTTTTGTGAATATTTTGTGATGGAATTTAGATGTTCTAGAAAACATTTTTAATGGAAACCATAGAATAAACTTAACCTATACAGAGAAAACAATGATTTAGTCCAGTGCCTTTTGACCTTGGTGACTTTAAGAAGTATGGACTTTAACTTCCAGAATTTGCCAGCCAGCAGGAATTCTGGGAGTTGAAGTTTACCCATCTTCAATTTTCCAAGTTTGAGAAACACTGCTGTAGAGCAGAGGTCTCCAAACTTAGTAACTTTAAGACTTGTGGACTTCAACTCCCAGAATTCTCCAGCCAGCTATGCTCTGGAGGAATTCTGGGAGTTGAAGTCCACAAGTCTTAAAGTTGCCAAGTTTTGGGACCTCTGCTGTAGAATAATGAAGTAAAATAGATCCTTATGCTCTCCGATTGATTACCAGTTGGATTGTCCTGGTCTCTGTTGCTGTACCAACTGTACAAATAATTCAATCTGAAAATTTATTGCTGAATTACTCCAGAATTTATTTATTCCTCTCATAAAGCCTATGGTTTTTCTTTCTTTCTTTCTTCCTCTTATAGAATCTTTGGGAAATTGGAGGAGACCATGTTGAAAGCCCATTTCCTGGGATCCCGTCTCATTATTAATTACCCTAATATTCAAACATCAATATACAGAATAAACCGCACCGAATTCAAAGGGTTGACTATCAACAGTACAGATCTCGTCGTAAGTATTTTTCCTTCTCCACACTATCAGTCCGATTCTGTGTTTCTCTCAACTTGGCCAATTTGAAGATATATGGACTTCAACTCCCAGAATTCTCCAGGCAGCATACGGCCCTAGGGAATTCTAAGAGTTGAAGTCTACCCAGCTTAAAAGTTGTCTGTCAGCTTTGGTAGCCGTTTTAGCACCAGAAGCTTCCACGCTGCCACATTCCTATGCCTGGGAAATTGGAAGGGGGGATTTTGTAGAGAGTTTGTAGTTAGCCATAATAGCATTCTTCCTTGCAATCAAGGTCATGTCATTCCTGCACCTGGTTGAGGAGTGATTAAGGGATGTCTCAAGTTGGGACGGATGGTGATTGGGCCGTGTGATAGACTGAGGGGTGCAGGGGATGGGTCTTTGGCTTTCAATTATTGAGGGAAGACTCAGAACTCTCTGATTTGGGTTTTCCCAGATATGCCAGTATGTGTCATGCCCTTGGTAGACGGACTCTGAGGGAGAGGAGGAACAGCTGACAGGGAGTGGAGGTGTGGCTCCGGAGGTTGTGGAGGAGGCTGGGGAAGGACTGGGGCCAGCTGGACAGTCAGAGGAAGAACCAGGCCCATCCCCTCTGCATCTTAGGACACGCAGTGAGGAACGGAGGAGGCAACAACTTGGCTTGCGAGAGAGGAAGCGGCCATGATCCTCCTCAGTAATTGCAGCTGGGGAGACAAGTATATAAGAGAGACGGTTAAAACACAGCATTGCCAGAAGCAAAGCGTGTTTTATTTTGGTCTGAAGTTATCTTGGTTGGCATCCTTCCCACAGACTGTGCCTTGTTATCTCCATGAATTTGGTAATTACTTATCCTGGTCCGTTGTGGAATTTCCTTCATTGTAGTTTGTTTTGGTTTTTTATTTCACCTCTATCTGCTCATTAAGTATTTAGTATTTATTTGAACTGTCAATCACTTACAAGATACAGGTATAAGAATAAACATAGTTTTGAATACATGGGATAGATACATATCAGAAAAATAAAAAGAAACAATAGGACAGGGACAGTAGGCACGGTTGGTGCGCTTATGCACGCCCCCTACAGGTCTCTTAGGAAGGGGGTGAGGTCAATAGTAGACAGTCTAAGGTTAAAGTTTTTGAGGTTTGGGGAAGAAACCACAGAGTCAGGTAGAGTATGCCAGACATTGACCACTCTGTTGCTGAAGTCGTATTTCCTGCAATCAAGTTTGGTGTGGTTAACCTTGAGTTTGTATCTATTGTGTGCTCTTGTATTGTTATGATTGAAGCTGAAGTATTCATTGACAGGTAGGACATTGCAATGTATGATTTTATATATTGTACTTAGATCGGACCGAAGGCGGCATAGTTCTAGGTTTTCTAGGTCTAGAATTTCAAGTCTGGTGGCATAAGGTATTCTGCAACGAGTAGAGGAGTGGAGAACTCTTCATGTGAATTATTTCTGGACTTTTTCCAATTGTGTTAATACCAGATACGTAATATAGGTTCCAAACTGATGAGCTGTATTCAAATATAGGTCTAGCAAATGTTTTGTATGCTCTAGTTAGTAATGTAATATTACCAGAGAAAAAGCTATGTAAGATTAGGTTAACAACTCTTAATGCCTTTTTGGCTATGTAGTTACAGTGGACTCTAGCACTTAGATCATTAGAGATGAGTATTCCAAGGTCCTTGACAAAGTTTGGATTCTCAACAAGGTCTTGACTATTTAGCTTGTATTTTATTTTCTGGTTTTTTTTTTTGCCAATATGTAAGACAGAGCATTTATTTGTTGAGATTTGAAGTTGCCATTTGATTGACCATTCTGATACATAGTCGAGGTCTTTTTGAAGGGTAGCAGTATTGTCTGTGGCATTGAATAGCTTTACATCATCGGCAAAGAGAACGCAGTTGCTCTTAATATGATCACAGAGGTCATTTATGTAGAGTAAGAAGAGAGTTGGTCCTAAAACACTGTCTTGGGGGACATCACTGTTGACAGGTACAGAATTTGATAGGATGTTTCCAATCTTGACCATTTGTTGTCTGTTTGACAGAAATGCTTCTATCCAGTTATGCAGATGTCCAGAGATACCATAAGGTTTTAGTTTAAGGAGTAGTTTGTCGTGTACCACTGAATCAAAGGCTTTACAGAAGTCTATGTAGATTGCATCTGTTGCTTTGCCCTGATCGAGTTGTGTAGTCCATATGTTTTTGCAGTGTAAGAGTTGCAGATTACAGGATAGTTTTTTTCTGAAACCAAATTGTTTATTAGAGAATAGGTTGTTTGTCTCTAAGTGGAGGATAATGGATTGGTTAATAATTGATTCCATGAATTTGCAGGTGACGCAGCATAAGGAGATTGGTCTGTAATTGTCAACTAGGCTGGGGTCTCCCTTTTTGAAGATGGGGATGACCGTGGCTTGTGACCATAGTTTTGGCAAGGAGCTGGTCCTGGAAGATTTTTCAAAGATTATGCTTAGAGGTTTGGTTACGGCAGTGGATAGCTTTTTTAAGAAGTAGGCACAAACTCTGTCCGGTCCAATAGATAGGGATGGTTTTAGATTGCGCAGTGCTTTTTCAACATTGTCTTCTGTAAAATCGATATGTATTAGATCATTGTAGTTGTCTGTGGTTCGACTAGGAAGTACTGGGCTTGATTCATTGCTGTTTACAAATACTGAGCCAAAGAATGTGTTAAAGAGGTTTGCTTTGATGGTGTCATCATTGCAGTCTTTGCCATTAGGTCCTTTTAGGGGTGGGATGGACCTTGAGTCTTTTAGTTTGTTGTTTACAAAATTATAGAAAGCACAGGTGGAATTTATGCATAGAAGGTTTTCCTCTTGCTTAATGTGATAATTAGTGCATTCAGTTTTTATCTGGTGGCATAAAGTTTTGTATCGGCTTTTGAAGTTGGCAACGTGACCAGATTTGTTTTTTTGCCAAAGTGATCTCTTTTTGGATTGAAGCTTCGTTATTGTTATGGGTAATCTGTTTTTCATTATTTTGGGAGTTGTTATTGGTACATATAGTTTGATGGCTCTTTTTATTTCTAGTAAGAATATGTTGTAATGGTCTTCAACAGTATTGCATCCAGTGAATAGAAATTGCCAAGGGAAGAGAGATCGTTGATTATAAGATCATAGTTGCCTTTTTTGGAGTTATAATTGGGGATTTTGTCGTTATGATTATTTTTGTGTGGATGTATGTTGAGAAAAAAGTCAATCATGTTGTGGTCACTGTTGGAAAAAGGTTCTTTAATTTGTATTCCGTAAATTAAATTCAAACTATTGCAGAAGATGAGATCGAGGCAGTTGTTAAGCCTAGCATTGTTGGTTACTTGTTGTTCTAGTCTCAGATTTGTTACAGCATTGTAGAAGGTTGCATGTATGGGTTCAGTTGTACATTTGTTAAGGGTCCAGTTAATATGAGGTAGGGTGAAGTCACCAAGAAAGATAAAAGCATGTGGGCAGGATGCTGCCCATGTTAGTAGTGTATTTGGCATGTTTGCATGTTTGATGTCATAATCAGGGGCTCTGTAACATAGTAAGAACTGAAATGTGATATTTAAGGTCAGTTCACAGATAATGGTCTCAGGAAGAGCAAGCTCTTGGGTAACTTGGATGTTTTTTAGATGTAAGGACTTTTTACAGAAGATAGCAACACCACCTCCTCTACGGATTTCACAATCAGATCGGTAAACATGATACTCTCTTACTGAGGTAATGGAGTCAGGGAGAGGTACGTTGAGCCATATTTCACAGACAAATATGATGTTGAATTTAGCCATATTTAGTAAGAGGAGAAATTCAGGTATTTTATTTACAAGGCTTCTTGCATTGAGTAGTTTGCATTTAAGGCCCAGTTGTAGTTTGAATTGAGGTAGTTGGGGGCATGCGTGCCTAGTGTTGGGTGATGGTGGATTGGTTGAAGTAGGGTTGGATGCTGAGTTGTGGGTTGTGTGACTTTCTTTTGATACACTCTGCACGGTAATCAATGTACAGGTCCATCTCTCCATTGTCTAGATGATCTTTGAGTTCTGTGCGTAGTATACAGGAACGGGCACATTGCTGTAAGGTTAGGTCAGGACGAGATCGGAGTTTTTTATGGTTGGTGTTGTTTTTGGCAAGTGAATTTATAGTATAAATGAATTTATGTTTGCTTAATTCATTTTTGCAAATGGCTGTGCAGAAGCGTGGGGCCACAGAGCCGTCTCTGTTTTTGAGCTCTTGGCCAATGAGGGAAATGTCAAGTATTTCATCAGGGAAGATGGTTGATGCTTGATAGTCACTGATGATGTTGCGGACAATTGTGATATCATCATTGTTATTGATGTCCTCTAGCCCAAATAAGATGGTGTTAGGACGCTTTCGTTTGCGCTCGACAGCTTCTCTGACGAGGATTGGACAGTATTACTTGGTCTGTTGTGTGGATGCTTGTGTGTTTTTAGGGGGTGGGAAATTTTAGTGGGTGGGGGGGTTGTTTGGGGATTGTCACGTGTGTGTGTGTGTGTGTGTGTGTGTGTGTTGGGTCTGGTCTCTCGGTGTTATGTGAATTTCGTTGTATGGGTAAACTGTGTATATACGTACAATGACAATAAAGAATTTAATTCAATTCCTAGGATGATCCACGGCCACCCAATCCCCTTCCAGTCATGATGGAATTCCAAATACAGAGTTTTAAATCTTGTGAATTGCGGGTGCAAAGGGGAAAGTCTAATATACTGGAGGTGGCATCATCGTTGATAATAATGTGTGTAAATGTCTGTTTCACGCTGCACGGCAGGAGTATGATGCCTCAAGACAGAGTCAACATTCCATGTGTTTTCCAAAAGCACTCATGGAGAAAGCCCAAAGGACCCCTGCCAAGGAGATGAGGCTTATATGCATATACCTGAAAGCTTCTTGCCTCTTTCAGGTAGGCCATTGCTGCAAACTTTCAGGAGGTGACAGGTGGGAATTTGCTCTAGAATATCATCATCAATGATTTGAAGTTTCCCAGTGTTTGGAGACAAAATATACCTAAACGGCAGCTTCCTAATCCCATTTTGACCTTAGAGTAAAACCTGATGAGTATATACAAAATGAGTATATACAAAAGGCTCCCTCTTTCATAATGCATGAACACCAGTGGTGGGATTCAAATTTTTTTACTACCGGTTCTGTGGGTGTGGCTTGGTGGGCATGGCTTGGTGGGCGTGGCAGGGGAAGGTTACTGCAAAATCCCCATTCCCTCCCCACTCCTGCTTTCCAGCTCCATTCTCCTGTGCAGGGCAACCAAAGAAGAGCCAGCTAATCAGCTGGGACTCAATGGGAGGCAGAGAAGAGATGGGGTTGGCGGGGCTAGTCAGAGGTGGGATTTGCTGGTTCTCCAAACTACTCAAAATTTCCACTACTGGTTCTCCAGAACTGGTCAGAACCTGCTGAATACCACCTCTGATGAACAACATTGTTGTAGAGGAGTGTGGAGACAGCTTTGAAGAAGGGATTCAACAGCTACTTAAAGCAATAGCACTTAGACTTACATACTGCTTCCCAGTGCTTTACAGCCCTGTCTAAGTGGTTTAGAGAGTCAGGCTCTTGCCCCCCAACAATCTAGGTCCTCATTTTACCCACCTCGGAAGGATGGAAGGCTGAGTCAACCTTCAGCCTGGTGAGATTCGAACTGCCAAATTGCAGTCAGCTGGCAGTCAGCAGAAGTAGCCTGCAGTACTGCATTCTAACCACTGCGCCACCATGGCTCTTATGTTGGTTTATGACCATAATAAAGATTTGATTGATGATTCAGTTGATGTTTTTTTTTAAGAAACATGCTTAGTTTTGGAAAGGAGGAGTGGGTGAGGAAGATACTCAAGGCTGTCCTGTCTTGATTTTCTTGAGTATAAGAAATGGGTAGAGAACTGCCAAAGCACCAGGGTTATCAGGAGATCCAGGCAGTGGAAATGTGTATAAGGATTTATTGCAAGCTTAAGCTCTCTACAAGAATCTGAACTACTAACAGTCAAGGGAAATTAGCGGGAGTTACAAATAGAAAGGAACTCAGATCTGAACTTAGTTCTCTTGTGGGCACGCAGGTACTCATGACTGATGATGTGTTTCACCCCTCCCTCAGGATCAGCCTGGTCTTCTCCTACGGAATCCCTGTCAGCCGTTCAAGATTTTGCTATTGTAACTCATAATACACAGAAGACAAGAGAAAGACAATTCAGATGTGGTTCTGCCTGATGAGAAGTTTTAGAATTCATTTGGCCCTGTGGCCAAAACAAGTTCTCTATTCTTAATCTGACTATCAGACTAGGATAAGAGATTTCAGGCCCTCACTCAGACAGAAACTTTCTGATTGAGTTTATACAATATTCTAAACCAGGGGTCTCCAACCTTGGCAACTTTAAGACGTGTGGACTTCCAGCATGCTGGCTGAGAAATTCTGAGAGTTGAAGTCCACACGTCCTAAAGTTGCCAAGGTTGGAGACTCTTGTTCTAAACCTAAATATTGTCAGCCTTCAAGATTTTCTCCTTTTGCTTTGCATCTTTCGGCTGTCATAAGTAACGGGGGGAGGAGGGGGGATAAGTATGGGAAGTGAGCTGGAGGTGTCACAAACTAGTATTGTATAAACTGAAGTGGGGGGAGAGCACATTCTTGCTTAGCTTTCTCTTCTATGCGCAGCTGCAAACCTTTATCAAACTATGCCAAGGTCAACAGACAGAAGCCTCATCATCACCTGAAGATGTCCACATGATGATATTCACAACTTTTAATTGGAAGAACCATTTGAACTATTGGGGGTGGGAACATTGCCATCACTTTGTCTATGTGATTTACGCGCCTGTTTCCTCAGATTCAGAATTCTTTTGTTGCTACCACTTGACTTCCAGTAAAAGGTATCTTTTCTCTAATTAAAAGAGTCTAAGTATTTCTTTCTTGGATCTTGAATGGAGCACCAGCTGACACATATGTTAACCCAACCCAACTGCCCTGTTTACATAGCATGCTGGGCCCTAACAAACCATGGCTTAAGGAGAGGGCCTGGTTTACTCACATACTAAGTCAAAGCTCAGAACCTAGAATACACTCAACCCTAAATTACACCATTCCATTTTTATTTAACTTAGTGCATTTTTTCCCTTGTCTTTCAGGATAAACAAAACAGGTCCTTGCTGAATGATGACATCTTAGGGGCCAGTCTTGGGAATGTGAGTGTTGCCAACCTCTCTAAACCTGTGGTAATCAAGTTTTTCCATAATCATTCATTGGTGAGTAGTGATGCTGCCATGGGCTTCATCCCTTAAATACGTCTTAGCGTTCTGGTAGAATGAAAGTCAACTGTCGCCCAAAAGAGAGCAGATCAGTGGTGGGAGTCAGATTTTTTTTACTACTGGTTATGTGGGCGTGGCTTGGTGGGTGTGGCATGGATTGGTGGGCGTGGCCTGGTGGGCATGGCAGGGGAAGGCTACTGCAAAATCCCATTCCCTCCCCACCCCACTAACCTGCTTTCCAGCTCTGTTCTCCTGTGCAGGGCAACCAAAGGAGACCCAGCTGATCAGCTGGGACTCGATGGGAGGCAGAGAAGAGATGGGGTTGGTGGGGCCAGTCAGAGGCGGGATTGGCCAGTTCTCCAACCTAATCAAAATTTCCGCTACAGGTTCTCTAGAACTGTCAGAACCTGCTGAACCCCACCTCTGGAGCAGATGTTAAGTCATGTTCAAGGGAAACCTCACTGCATCAGACTTAATCTTCAGATATTTCTAATGGCCACAAGATCAGGATTTATGTTGTTGTTGAATCAATCTCCCCTTTGCATGCCTGATACAGAACTAACGAACTCAAGCAAATCAGAACTCTGAGACTTGCCTCCTTCTCAAAGGTCCTCTTTAATGAGTACATCATATCGGAAGACCAAGCCTAAATCTTTCCCATGGTTACAGTATGATTAAACTAGGAAATAACCCCATCCCCAAGTGTCACAGGTCATGTTGGCCAACTGGGTTAATTGGCAGGCTCTTCAGGCACTCCTTCCCCAACTGTTGCCAATAGAGGTAGCAATAGACTTATATACTGCTTTCCAGCCCTCTCTAAGCAGTTTACAGAGTCAGCCTCTTGTTCCCAACCATCTGGGTCCTCATTTTACTGACCTCGGAAGGATGGAAGGCCGAGTCAACCTTAAGCCAGTGGGAATCAAACTGCTGGCAGTGGGCAGAATTAGCTTTTTCTTCACCTGGCTAGACACAAAAAGTTGTTAGGCATGTAAAGGTCTGAAAGATTGAGGAAGTGAATGTGAAATACTTACGATATATAGCAATAGCATTAGCAACTTAGACTTATGTACCGCTTCACAGTGCTTTACAGCCCTCTCTAAGTGTGTGTGTGGGGGGGAATCTCATATTGAACGATGTGGGTTTGCGCGGGAATTAGACAGAGCTGGTTTTGCCTTCGCTAGTGCCGAAATGATGTACTCAGTAAGGTTTTGCACCGAGACATTGGCAGGTCTGGAGTGTTCATGCTTTGGTTGGGATCGTCAGTCAGGATGTTGGAGATATAGAATATAGAATAACGAAGTTGGAAGGGACCTTGGAGGTCTTCTAGTCCAACCCCCTGCTTATCATCAACATTTCTCTTGTTTTCTCTCTCAACCACTCTAGGGTAATTTCAGTAAGACCTGCGTATTTTGGGTGGAAGGAACAGGTAAGGACAAAATGCAAACCAGCCTCAAAGAGCACCAAGTACTGTACAGGGCAATTATTTGTGTCTATCTTTCTTGCTTCCTTTTTTCTTTTATAGTGACCCCCATTCCATCTCTCCTCCATTACTCTGTCATTCTGCAACTTTGCCTCCATAGTTGCGTAATATGTTCCTGAGGAAGAACTGACGTGAAGGAGTCCGATCACACCTTTTCCAACTAGCCTATTTTATTAAAAAGCATACGTTTTTATGAGGTGTATCTTACTTTTGACATGGGATGGGTTTTAGGAGTGGTGTGGTGGCCTAGAGGAAGAGCTGTCGCCTCACAATCGGGAGACTGTGGGTTTGATCCTAGGTAGAGGCAGATATATTTCTCTCTCTGGGCACGGTGAGAATATATCAGCCGAACAAAACTCCGCATTGGTGACAGGAAGGGCATCCGGCCAGTAAACACTCTGTTAGCTTCATTCAGTTGTCCAGACTCCACCCCGCAAGGGATTACGGGGTCTTTAAAAGAAGATGATGATGGGATGAATTTTTATAATGAGGTAGGCTGTAACTTGCAAAAGGCAAATCTTATGCCTTTTGACATGCATACATTGCTAGAAAAATGTCCGCAGATTCCTCCTGATTTTAGGCTACCATAGACTAACATGGGTCTCCCCCCGCCATATAAGATTAATAGGTGTGGTGTGTATTTCTATGACTGGGAAAGGTTGAAGAATACACACAGATACCTCTTTCAGCTAGGCAGGCACTTAGCTCTAACTGATGTCTGCTGATCCTTGTAATGTCATTGTTATATTGCCTATTTACAATACATTTTGCATGTCACGTTTTAGGCAGTAAAACTGCAGGTGGAATTTGTGCATTAAAACTTGGGGCCAGTGTAACTGTTTATGAATGGATATGTGTACACTCATGCACCTGGACACACACATGCCTTTTGAGTATAACTGATGATGATAAATGTTTGTGGAATTTACTCAATAGAGCAGCAGAATAAAATATTACTGAAAGATTGATCTAAGATTTCATTTGACAAATTATAAAGACATTTTTAGAAATGACTATTCATAGATTTGGAAGAATGTAGTAGTAGAAGACATGCCAAAAGGGAGAACGCTGGAATTATCTTGGTCAGGAAGAATTGTCTAGATTTTTTTTGGTCTTCATAGGAATACTTCGGGAGATTAATGAATATATTTTTTAATCTTTAAATCAATTTAAATGTCTCTCTTGTGATGGTTGATGAGTTTGTGTGTCATTACCCAAAGAAAAATCACTTTTACTTAATTTTGGATAACTCACCCAGGTTTGGGATAAAACTGCTATAGATAGTGAAGATTAACACAACCTTCCCATAAAGTATTTTTTCCTGGATCAACCTTCCTGTTCTGTTAGTTATTTTGCAAAATAAATGTGAACGGCTCAAATGTCCTATGGGACATTTCAGTTGAGTTCATACAACAAGTTTAGCCTTAAACTTGGGTTAAGAAAATATAATGGTTGGGTTTATCACAAATGTTATACCCGAAGATGTAAATTGAGTCCATCTTGATGGGAGAACCTGGTTCATTTACTATATGCTAAAATGATCATCTCACAGCATGTTGAACGACAAATTAACCAATTCACTACGTTAGTTGAGCCTATACAGGTAATCCTTGACTTATAACAGTTCATGTAGTGACCTTTCAAAGTTAACAACAAAGTGACTTGTGACCATTTTTCACACTTACAACCTTGGCAGGTATTCCCATGGTCACATGATCAAAATTCAGGCAACTGACTCATAGTTATGATGGTTGCAATGTCCCAGGGTCACATTTTCTGACAAATAAAGTCAACAAAGAAGCCAGATTCACTTAAGAACCACATCACTGACTTAACAACTTCAGTGATTCACTTAACACCTGTGGCAAGAAATTTCATAAAATGGAGCAAAAAAAATGGAGCAAAACTCACTTAACAAATAACAAAAGTTTTGGGCTCATCTGTGGTTGTAAGTTGAGGACAACCTGTATTATGCATTCTTTAAAAAAAGAATCCCAAACAGGCAGCTGTAGCTATGGTATTTTTCTTGAGCCGGGTGCTTGTTTTTCTCTAGGAGAGGACAACCTGGGGGAATGGAGAACAGAAGGCTGTGAAACTGACGCCAGCCAGGAGAGCGTTGTTGTCTGCAAATGCAACCATCTGACCTATTTTGCAGTTCTTCTGGTAAGTCTGTTGCTCTTCAGGTCTCTGGTGCATCAACTTCTTCTTGAGAAGGTGTTCTGGAAAATTGGAATGCTTTGGATGCAACCTTTGCTCTGTTGAAGGCCCCTCCACAGAAACAAAGTTCTCCTGACCAGAGAACCTCAGTCTTTTTCCATACGGTCCTTCGGCAGCCATCTTGTAATGCCACCTAAAAGGATGCACAAAGTGTGCCCAGTTCTAGTTTTACTTAGCACGAAATTGAATCCCAAGGGAAGGCAACAGAGAAGTTATTTCTGCCTGGAGTTTGCACGGTCATGCCATTTGCTTGCTGGAGAGTAACAGTCTAAGGTAAGAAGAGGCAATTTTGGAGGATAGAGCAACTCTAGAATTTGGAAAGCATGTGATGGATGCATAGGGTGCACTCATGAAACACCCATTGCCTAGAAGGGGCACTAATGGTTAGTTCTCTTCCACTCCAGAGAGCCCTTTGTGGACTCTTAGACACCGCTAGAACTCATGAAGAGGATAGAGGTTGCTGCTTTTGCCTTGTAGTAGGTCAACTTCTGAAATATCTATGGAGATTCTCAATCATCCAGGTCATGGTTGCCCCAAAGCTGCTTTTCCAAAAGGCAACTTTGGCTTATTCCTTGAAAACAGTTTGCTTCTCATCCAAGAAGTTTCTTCAGTTCTGAAGTACTGAACTCATCTTGGATGGGAAGTAAAACATTTTCAAGGGAAAAAAAAACACCAATCAAGTCCAGTTGACCTTTTGGTCAACATCCTAAGTAACCTTTAATCTAAAAAACTTTTTAAACTATTCAGTTGAGCAGAGAGCAACACCTGATGAGCACTGGTGCCCTGGAGAGCCATGTTATCCACTCCGTGCAACAACATGAGTATCTGCTGCCATCTTGCAACACTTGGTGCATTAACACATTGACTAATGAAAAGAAGCACCAGGGGAGACAGGATAGCAGTCTTCCAATATTTGAGGGGCTCCTACAAAGATGAGGGTCTCAAGCTATTCTCCAAGGCACCCAAAGGCCAGACAAGGAATAATGGATGGAAACTGAACAAGGAGAGATTCAACCTAGAAATAAGGAGGAATTCTCTGACAGTGAGAACAATCAACCAATAGAATTGTTTGCCTTCAGAAGCTGTGGGTGCTCCGTCACTGGAGGCTTTCAAAAAGAGAGTGGATAACCATTTGTCTGAAATGGTGCACCGTCTCCTGCTTGAGCAGGGGGCTGGACTAGAAGACCTCCAAGGTCCCTTCCAACTTAGAAAGACCACCCCGAGAGTACTGCATCCAGCTTTGGTCACCACCCTATAAAAAGATGTTGAGACTCTAGAAAGAGTACAGAGAAGAGCAACCAGGATGATTAGGGGACTGGAGGCTGAAACGTATGATGAACGGTTGCAGGAACTGGGCATGAGAAGGACCAGGGGAGACATGAAAACAGTCTTCCAATATTTGAGGGGCTGCCACATAGAGGAGGAAGGGGTCAAGCTATTTTCCAAGGCACCAGAAAAGGAATAATGGATGAAAACTGAACAAGGAGAGATTCAACCTGGAAATAAGGAGGAATTTTCTGACAGTGAGAACAATCAACCCATGGAATAGAAGTTGCCTTCAGAAGTTGTGGGAACTTCATCACTGGAAGCTTTCAAGAAGACACTGGACTGCCACCCATCAGAAATGGTGTAGGATCTCCTGCTTTGGGGGGGATTGGACTAGATGACCTACAAGGTCCCTTCCAACTCTGTTAATCTGTTAAACTCTATTATTCTATGTTTTAACAGATTGTTAAAGGTAGCAAATCCTTCTCTGTTGATCATGCTTCTTGACTGGATACTACAATATCTAAAAGATGTGTAGGTCCAGGCTACGTTTCATCAATTTCAGATAGTGTGGCCTTTGCTGATGGGGGATAATGGAGGTTGCAGTGGAGGACAGACGTTTATTACTGTCAGAGTATATTCATTAACTGGCAGAGACATAGTTAACAAAGTCAGCAAGTGAGTAAGCATGGTAACAGACCAGCCAAGGAGAGTTGACAGACTGGGTGTGGTTTGGCTCTGTGTGCTTTGCTGAGAATTGAGACGGAAACTGATCTCTGTTCTGAGCCCTCTGAGCTGTTATGTTGAAAGAATCTACAAATGGTATTGTAAACTTTACTCATGTTAATATGTTTATAAAGAAGTTAATGATCCTGCTGAATCAGTCTGTGTGTTTTCTGGATTTGAATTCCTGCTGCAAACACTTAACAATTACTTATGCAAGAAATACACACCCCTTTCCTTGTAACTGGCCCTGCCATTTCTTCTTGCCCCTCTTATTCAGCAACTGTCTTCAGAGTCTCTGGATGAAAAGTTACTGGTCCCTTTAACCTATCTCAGTGATATTGGCTGTGGAATCTCAGCGTCGGCTTGTTTCATCACCATCTTCTTATACCTTTTCACCAGGTAACCACAGAATCCTTTCAGGGTCAGAGAAAAACTCTCCCAGACAAAATAGCAATGAGGGACACAGAGAAACAAGGACATGTCAGTTTCTGGCTTTAATTTCTTGGTTGCTCTACAGGGTCATCTGACTGAGATGGGCAACCATCTAATGGTTTAAATAATTTAAAGTAATTGCATTTAGAAAAGGAAAACAAATGAAAACCCAGGTAGTCCTCAATTTACAACAGTTCATTTAGTGACCGTTCAATGTCACCATGGCTGTCATGTCCCTGTTGGAATCTGTTCTGAGGGGAATCTGACAGGGAGTAGGAGTGTGGCTCTGGTGGCTGTGGAGAAAACTGGAGAAGAGCACAGTCCGGCTGGGCATTCAGAGGAAGACCCAGGCCCAATCCCCTCTTCATCCTAGGGCATGGAGGGAGGAATGGAGCAAAGTGGGCTATGGGGGAGAAAAGGGCCCTGATTCCCTTCATTAGCTGCAGCTGGGAAAACAGGATTCAAAAAGGGCATTTGCGCACAGCCAAAGAATTTGGTTTGTCACGTCTTATCTGGATTCTGGCGTCCTCCCATCTGTGTGTGTTTTGTTATCTTTTGATGTCTTCAATCCCTTATCCTGCCCTGTCTTGTTAATTGCTGCGGCGTGGTTTGTGTTGGTTTTTATTTACAATTTATATGTACTTTGGGTTCGGACGGAATTTCTTCCCTTTAAAAACTGTTCTTGGGAGAGTTTTTTTCTCCAGCCGATGATAACTGGACATTGGGGGCCAAGTTGGGGGAATTAAATGGACTTTACCTACTTTTGTGACTTTGTTGCTTTTGTGCCATGCCCCTTTGGGTCATCACAATGGCACCGAAAAAAAGCGACTCAGTACCATTTTTCATACTTACGACTGTTTCAGCATTCCCATGGTGACATGATTGACCTTCAAATGCTTGACAACTGACTCACAGATATGACAGTTGCAGTGTCCCAGGGTCACGTGAAATTTGGGGCTCCATTTGTGGTTGTGCATTAAGGACTACCTGTCGTATTTCTCTCCTTTCTGGACCCCACCGGATCCACTTCTCCAGCTGATCTTCTTTCCCTTTTCTCCTTGTAGGAAACCCTATCACGATTCCACCACGAAGATCCACATCAATCTTCTGGGCGCTCTTTTCTTTCTCAACACGTCGTTCTTGATCAGCAAGACTTTAGTTGGCCATCCGTGGTGGTGCAGCATCCTGGCTGCCTTCCTCCACTACTCCTTGCTCTGCAGCTTGACCTGGATGGCCATCGAGGGCTTCCACCTCTACCTGCTAGTGATCAAAGTCTACAACTCCTACATAAGCCGTTACCTGCTGAAGCTGAGTGCTGTTGGGTGGGGTAAGGATTTCTACGCTGCCCGTATTGGAAAACACATCATTGTGAAGTCACCTTCTGAATGTCTCTTATTCGCTTTCCAAAACAAGAAATGTAGCTTGTGCATCTGGCTGAGAAAATACTTGCCCTGAGCTTCTCCCCTGGGAGAAACAAGACACAAAGTGGTGGGATTCATCATTTTTACTACCGATTCGGTGGGCGTGGCTTGGTGGTCGTGGCAGGGGAAGGTGACTTCAAAATCCCCATTCCACTAACCCGCTTTCCAGCTCCTTTCTCCTGGGCAGGGCAACCAAAGAAGACCCAGCCGATCAGCTGGGACACAATGGGAGGAGAGAATAGAGGGGAGTGGGGCCAGTCAAGAAGTGGGATGTGCCGGTTCTCTAAACTACTCAAAATTTCCACTACCGGTTCTCAATCTGCCTGCCTTCTTTACCTGCTTTTGGATAAAAGTTGCTCTTTTTTAAATAAAAAATTAAATATTTCCATACATGGTGTGTTGTGAGTTAATTTTGTGAGTTTGCTTGCTACCAAATTTTGTGAATTTGTTTGCAAGCAAATTTTATATGACAGACTCAGGCAATAGATTGCAGAAAGATAGATCTCTGAGTGAATCTGTGATTCTGTGAGCAACTCAATCTGCCTGCCTGCTTTGCCTGATTTTGGGTAAAAGTTGCTCTTTTTTAAATAAAAAAATCAATATTTACATAAATATTTGCAATATTTACCTACAAGCCACGCCTAGCCAGTCACATGACCACCAAGCCATGCCCACAAATTAGGCCACGCCCACAGAACAAGTTGTTAAGAACCCCTGCTCCGTTACATCTGATGATGGTGGACTGTGGCGCATGAAAATTGCTGCCTTTGAATAAAATGTCTTAGGTGGAAAAGGTACAAGCAGATTTAGAGAGAGAGTGGGGAAGATTCTTTAAACATTGGGATGCCTTTAAGTAGCCCAGGCCAGGTGAAAGATAAGACACAGGATACCTGAGAACAACCTGCCTTCCATCTGGACACCCACCATTTGTCCTCCTGGATCAAAGGCTGCTGTTGTGGTCCATCAGCGGCCAGCAGAGCTGGCAGCCGATTCGGACAGTGAGGAGGTTGGGGAGGAACATGGGCCAGTCCTGGAGTCTGGGGAAGGCACTGACGAGAGCTCTGCATCGGAGGCAGAGATGGGGCCAGGCCATCCAACAGTTATCAGCTGCCTTTGGAGTCGGAGATCAATGGGGCAGAAGAACAGCTGGAGCCTGTTCCCAGTGTGCGTATGCACAGAGCTGCCAGAAGAAGGGAACAGCTAAGGAATAAGGATCGACTTGGGAGTAAAGGCTCAGGTGGACAGTGAATAGCTCCTCCCAAAGGGTATAAAGAGGAGCGAAAGGGGAGTGGGGTTTGCAGGAGACAATTCGTTCAATCCATTAGGGTGTTATAAGTTGAGGACTACCTGTATATGCCTGTTAAAGTCTTATTTTTGGAACCCATCCCTGTGTATTCCCTCATTCTGCAGGGTTCCCTGGAGCCATAATCCTGGCCAGCTTCCTTAGCATGCAGAACGTTTATGGTCAGTATGACATCAAAACCGGCTCTCAATACAAGAACACGCCCATGTGAGTAGCAGAGAAGCAGCGGCCTCAGATGTGCAGTTTTAACTCTTACATATTATAGACAGGCCTTGACTTACAAGATTTGTTTAATGACCACTTGAAGCATTGAAAAAAGCGACAGAATAGAATAGAATGGGGCCTTGGAGGTCTTCTAGTCCAGCCCCCTGCTCAGGCAGGAGAACCTATACTATCTCAGACAAGTGACTGACCTTGTTCTGATCCAAACCTGGTTCCCAGAGAGCAAACACAAGACACAGCACAACCTTTTAACGTTTCATTTTACGAATCCCGTTTCTTCACAGATAAAAGGCTGCTTCCAACTAATTAGCTCCAATAAGGAAGAGCCTTGCCAAGTTTTGGCAAGGCTGCCGAGAACAACAGATAAAGTTCCTAAACAATAAATCAAAGAGTCTCCAAACACCAACTCAGATACTCCAAACATCCACAAGACTTGAAGTGCAAGAACTTCTTTGCTTCCTGCAAAGAACCCCAGCTCTGAGGGCTGGCTTTTATCCCTTATGGGAGGGGCCATCACCTTGCAGCCTTACTCCCAAGTTGCCCATGTTGCTGCAGCTGCTCTTTCCTTCAAGCAGCCCTGCGTGCATGCTCACTGGGCACAGGCTCCTCGGGGACCTCTTCCTCGCTGCTGCCAGCCCCCACAATCCCCAAAGGCAGCACTCCACTCACCGATGGTCCTGGCCCCATCCCTGCATCACACGCAGGTCCCTCATCTGAGTCTTTGCTCTCCGAGACCTCAGCTGTCTGCAACTGCTGTTGGTGAAGCAGAACAGACCTCGACTTACAACAATTCATTTAGTGACCATTCAAAGTTACAACGGCACTGAAAAAAGTGACATGATGGTTTTTCACAGTTATGACAGTTACAGCAACCCCCTGATCACATGATCAAAATTCAGATGCTTGGCAACTGACTCACATTTATGACGGTCGCAGTGTCCCAGAGTAACATGACCCCCTTTTGTGACCTTCTGACAAGCAAAGTCAATGGGGAAGCCAGATTCGCTTAACAACCGGGTGAATCACTTATCCACTGCAGTGATTCACTTAACGACTGCGGCAAGAAGAGTCGTAACATGGGAGAAAACTCCACTTAACAAATGTCTCACTTAACAGCAGACATTTTGGGTTCAATTGGGGTTACAAATCGAGGACTGCCTGTATTTTGCCTGGCATGCCTTTTCATGTTACAGTTCTGGCCCAGATTCACATTTGTTTTATGTCACCATCCTGTTAGTTGAGCTCGTCTTCTTGTTCCACAATACAATTCAGCCTGCGATCCTCTCCTTGTCTTTTGGGGAGAAGACAAGTTAAACTTGAAAACTTCTAGGAGCATCCTGTCAACATGGGCGAGATAGTGAAGAACAACTCGGGGTTGTAGTTCCATAATGTAGTTCCCTAATGACATAACCAAATACCTGGTTGTTCATTGTGGAAGTTGAATCCGAAAGTCCTTCCATATGATCCAGCAGAGTTCTCTTTATCTCCACATCTTCCTGAAAACAAAAACAAAACGAAACAAAAGCAATTTCTACCAACCTGCCTTCCATGGAGGACCTGCAAACTGCACGAGTCAAAAAGAGGGCTGTGAAAATATCTACAGACACCTCACATCCTGGACATAAACTGTTTCAACTCCTTCCCTCAAAATGACGCTATTAGAGCACTGCACACCAGAACAACTAGACACACAGTTTTTTCCTGAATGCCATCACTCTGCTAAACAAATAATCCCCTCAACACTGTCCAACTATTTACAAAGTCTGCATTACTATTACTATTAATCTTCTCATCACTCCTTATCATCCATCCCCTCCCATTTGTGACTGTAGGACTGTAACTTTGTCGCTTGTATCCTTACGATTTTTATTGACTGCTTCCTAGTATGATTTGATTGCTTGTTGTACCCTATGACTATCATTAAGTGTTGTGCCTGATGATTCTTGACTCTTGACAAATGTATCTTTTCTTTTATGTACACTGAGAGCATTTGCACCAAGACAAATTCCTTGTGTGTCCAATCACACTTGGCCAATAAAGAATTTTATTTCTATTCTATTCTATTCTATTCTATTCTATTCTATTCTATTCTATTCTATTCTATTCTATTCTATTCTATTCTATTCTATTCTATTCTATTCTAG